TCGTCAATGAGGCAATTTTCGGGCTTGATATCGCCATGCACGAGCCCAGCCGCAGCGATATCACTCACTGCCGAGGCCAGCTGACGAAGCCATCGGCGCAGCGCAAAGGGGCCTGGATGATTTTGACTCTGTGGGCAAATGTAGTCCAGCAGGCAACCGCCGTTCATGTAGGCCAAGACCAGGCAACCGAAATCCTTGTAAACAAAGCTATCTCGGAGCTGTGCGACGGCTCGAGCTCCCACCAACGCTCGCATGATGCGTCCCTCATACAAAGGATCGGAAGAAAATGTTGGGCGCGACACAACCTTGATGGCTACTCGAGTTTTGTAACGAAGATCTCGCGCCTTGAACACGGTGCTGCTCGCTCCCCTGTCCAGCACGCTGAGAATTTTGTATCGCTCCTGCAGGACATCGCCAACGTGGATAGGAAGTTGAGACTCTTGTTGGTCTTCAAGTTTCTTGCAGCGTACCAGCGGTGGGTGATGGGGACCAGGCGCGTCGAGACTGGGTACAGCATCCGTGCTAGCACTTCTCGGCTTACAGCGGCGTTCGGAACTGGCAGCTTGCATGACCAAGGCGGGCACGGCCGAGCTGTGACGGCGATAGCAACGTGACCGTGGTTCTGGAGGTGCAGGAGAGCCCTGATAAAGATACAGGCTCTCGGGTGAGGCGCCCGTCGTCGTGAGCCACTCGGGTGCCTCGGATCCGAAGCGATGTGTTGGATGGATGGGGCTGCTGCCGCTACCGCTGCCGTTGCCGTGTCGGCCAGACGGTGATGGCACTGTGTCGTTGGAGCATGGATACCACATTTTGTCGCTGTTGATCCGAGCCGTTGAAGCTGACCTCCAACTGGGAAAAGCGTCCATGTCATAAACCGAAGATGCCGTTGTGGAGGAAAATATAGCGCGTGTGCCGTTGGGACGCTGTGCAGCTCGGCAGCGACAAAGTTTCCGCAACCACACGAGCGGGGAGCGGAGGGCTTTTTGTTGTTCCTAACTGCCTTGAAAGAGGCAATCCTTTGCAACGCACAGCACTCGATGGGGGGAGTTTGGCACCCCAAGCACCAAGCGAGGGAATGGTGTAAATTTCGATGTGATGGGTGAGTCAGGCACTGCCGCTCACTGCCGGTTCAGCTAGACCCCAAACTCTGCCAAATGAGCTCAACGCCCTGCCCTGGCAAGCCCCCCCGTCAAAGCCGTAGGGCCCCACCAGCCCAAGCTCTACCAAGTGAAGAGAGAGCGCACGCACGCGTTTGTGTGTTGAAGACAAGTCGGCGTGGCGGGTGGGGGGGAAAGGCCAACGGGTTGGGGGAGAGGAAAATGCGCAACTTGCCCACTGCTTTTGCTCTTTCCACCCGTCGTGTCGTCGTCGTAGTAGGAGGAATAGACAAAAGGGCATCAAACTCCTCCTGCATTGGGCGGACCAACCATCAAGGCGTACGCTTTCTTGATCTTGCCAAGCGCCACACAAAGCACACGTCATTGTTTCAGACGCTTGTGGCGGTTGGCTCTGTCGCAGGGCGCGGGTGTGGGTGGCGTGGTCTGGGTCTAGGAATCATGCCTCTTTTCTCTCTCTCTCTCTCTCTCTCTCTCTCTCTCTCTCTCTCTCTCTCTCTCTCTCTCTCTCTCTCTCTCTCTCTCTCTCTCTCTCTCTCTCTCTCTCTCTCTCTCTCTCTCTCTCTCTCTCTCTCTCTCTCTCTCTCTCTCTCTCTCTCTCTCT